CGGTAGGAAAAGGCCAAGCGGGCCAGACCCAATCTCGGCCGCAACATTTGGCAAGAAAGGCCTACCATTAAATGAATCTGGCACAGATACAGCACCAGGTTCATAATCCGGTAGGAAGAGGCCAAGCGGTCCAGACCCATCTCGGCTGCCAGATTTTCACATCCAACGGCCTGTATTGCCCGTGGGCCCTACTTGCCAAACAAGAAAAGTTTGGGCGCGGAAAACCAGAAAGGTTTCACATCCAACGGCCTGTATTGCCCATGGGCCCTACTTGCCAAACAAGAAAAGTTTGGGCGCGGAAAACCAGAAAGGTTTCCTCGTGGGCTCTGTCTACCAATTCTCCCCTTGGAATTGTGAAACCTCGTCTAAAGAGTCCTTCTTCCATTCATAAACAAAACCAATAGCTAAAATCAATAAAAAGACCATCATAGACCAAACAATCCTATTTATTGAAAGAAACTGCCCAAGGAAATAAACAAGTACTTGCCGAACCTCGAGACTTGCCGAACCTCGAGACTTGCCAAACCTTGGGACTTTCTGAACCTGGCAGGTGCATACCAGGGCGATCCAGGGAAGGTGCGAAGGAGACTGAAAGTTGCCCCAAAGATGGCTTAATGACCGTGTGCTCTATTCGGGTGGAGACATTAGTGGTGGTTGCTGAACTTGGCAGACCTGTCTTCCTGTTTTTCCTTTGTTTTGTTTTCTGCGATTGCAGGGGACAGTGAGTGCCTCATTGATCCGAAATCGCACTACAATGAGTTGAACTGACTCTGGGCCCTCCTAGACTTTCCAAGAAGCCCTCTTAGTTTTCTTTTTCCCTTTGTTCTTTTGAAAAACTAAGCTCTATTCTTCTCTCAATTTCACCTTTCACTACCTACCTGACACTACTCCTAAGCCTATACAGGGGCCCCCTTGCAAGCATAGCTACCTCTCACAATTAAGGGGATGCATGTTGCCCCTGCAGGGGGCAGGGTGGGGCTGCTGGTGGAGGGGGCAGGCTAAACCGAGCATTCCGTGGCTCAGTGGTTAGGGCACGGTTGTCAATGCACATTATGGTGAGGGTTGCGGGTTCAAAACTCCACACCTCTGTGCAGAGACACTGGCAGGCGTTTACATAAAGCATGGTCATATTTGCATACGCCCTTGGGCTGACGCAGGTAAGCTATTACAGACTGCCTGCGCACCACCCAAGGGTTAGTCTACGGGTGCTGTATGTTGGTCTGGGCCACACGTGGGTTGCTTTCTGTTGTTGGCTATGGGTTGTTCTGATCATCGTCCCGGTCTAGACATTTCACACATTATGTTCGCTTGCACGTCACTAGCCGTGATACTGTCTATGGGCACAACCACATAGTTCAGCACATATACACATATACATAGCCACTAGGCACATGCAGTTTGATACACGGTTACTAGTACATAATACACAGCCTCCGGGCTTGCATGCGGGCAACTGTACAGATTGCTGTAAAACTACCATACTCCTATGCCTGGGAGGTCTAGTAATAGGGGCTTCTCTAGGATTGACTGATGATGATGATAGGCGCTCCAATGATAAGTACCCCACCGTAAATCAGCTTGACTGTGCGTGGGGGAGTAGAGGACATGAGTCACTGGTTGGTCTGAGGGAGGTCTAGTAATAGGGGGTCTGCTCGGGATCGACTAATGATGATAATAGGCGTTTCCATGACAAGTACACGACCGCAAATCAGCTAGACAGTGTGTGGGCGAGTTACTGATTGATCTGGTTCAACGATGGGCTTAGACTCCAGGGGTAGAGCAGGGATACAAGTTGCTCAGGCTAGTCTGAGTTCCACCTCACCTTGGGCAAGCTTGTGATGCGCAAACCTCACGCCCCACGCGGCATCCCGTGCTAACAGGTGCCGAACAGAGTAATTGGGGGCGTGGACGAGGATTTTTGGCCGGGAATGGGGGATTCTCTCTTCGTTCCAAGGTTATCCCAAAGTTCAGGCCGACGTAGAGGATAAAATGGTGATACTAGGGAATTTGAGGGGTTAATCAGGACCGGCACACGGGGTATAATTCAAAATTTCTGCTCGGCCGAGAGGGCTGAGGTTCGAAAGCATGGGGAGCAAACAGGATTAGATAGATCCGGCCGGGCTCTAACAAAACACGGCCAAAGGTGTCCCCTCTAATTGTAAAGCGCGGCGCGCGACTAGGCCGACTATGGACAACCTGACAAAAAAAGGAAAAGGAACAGGGAAGAGCGGAATTTATGGCTTCCCTCGTGCGAAGTTCACGCTAACTCCATGGCAGGAACCCAAACACATGGAGCATCTAGGCTTCAGAGTCGGATTCATCCAGTCCGCGAGGTTGGCTAGGTGCAGCGTCGTCCAATTCGGACAAGATAAGGGGAACCCAGGTTCGGAAGTTCACCGGGAGGGTGCCCGCACTATGAGAGAACTCTGGGAACCTGGCCGCCCCTTCGTACCCCAAGACCAGCCTCCGCCAAGAACACGAGTACCCTTGCCAACACCAGTGACAATTAAATTGGGGCTGCCACGTGGCGTGGGCCGCCGACCAAGGTAGCACCGTCAAATCGGTGTAAGGCAAGATCAGGGGAGGGGAGGACAACCGATCAATTAGAACAAACCCACTCCCCCCAGCATGACAGGCCTTAGATGGGTTGTAAAAGTGAGCCCGGTCGGTTCGCAACAGCGCGCTCCGTATGTCCGCATCGCAATACACGTTGTCCTCGTTTGCGATCGGGAAGGGCGGAAGGACACTGTGGCTGATCGACAAGAGGGTTGAGCACGGGCAATTACCCGCGCTCACATTTAACAAGGTGAATCTCGACTCCATACAAATCTCAATGGGTTTCACCCCACTCCCTCCTTCTAAATCAAGATGCAAGTTCAGGGACACAGCGTCGTTAGTCACAAACTTATTACCAAGACAAGATGGCTATGGCCAAGTAGCAGAGAGATCAGCCGACGCGTGAGGACGCGTGTGACCGATGTCCCTGGTTGTCGGCAGCCAGCTGGATGGGACACCAGACCAACTGACACGTGGCACTTGTGTGCGAGAAGGGGGGGGAGGGAGGGGTGGGTCAGCGACGATCTCTGCGCTCACACGTGGGGCTGGGATCGACAGGAATCGGGGAAGAGAGGGACTTCAACACACTCATGCATTCAGGCAGACGATTGACACCCCCGTGCTCCCCAGAGTTGTGCCCGCAGGCGCCTCAAACACATAACCTCATTCCACATCTATACATCCATCTCTCTTGGACAGCGAGACATTCAGCATCCATAGACCCTCATAACCAATGTCATGCATGCGACTGAGTATCGACACCTGGGATATTGCACACACCACACTTGGACAAAGCAGCAATGGAGACAAAAGCGAATCCTTCGCTATTCACAATTCCCACATGGCTGGCCTCCCTCAGGCACAGCCCCCAACCAATCCGAACATCAACCAACCATAGCCTTATACATCCATCTATCTTGAAGAGCGAGACATTCAGCATCCATAGACCCTCATAACCAATGTTATGCATGTGACCGAGTATCCACACCTGGGATACTGCACACACCACACTTGGGCAAAGCAGCAATGGAGACAAAAGTGAATCCTTCGCTATTCAAAATTCCCACATGGCTGGCCTCCCTCAGGCACAGTCCCCAACCAATCCAAACCTCAACCAACCATAGCCAC